ATGACATGTGAATAATCCCGCCCACTCTAAAGCGGTACTGAACTGCAGTGGAAACGCAAACCGTGCTGAGCCGAACCGTGCCGTGCCGTAATGAGCCTTACCGGGGTGAGTCGTACCATGCAGTGGAAAAGCGCCATATGTGAGTGTCCCACTTCAGGTCCTGAGAGATTGTGGTGTATATATATATATATATATATGTCAAAAATTCTGAATTATAAAAACATAAGTAAAATAAAATAAAATTGACTAGTTAATTTGAATGTTTAAGTCATGTTTTACACAACACAATTACAAAATCATGCAAAACAGACTTAAACATCCAAATTTTTTTTTCAATCATTCAGACTTTGTATAAAATAAATAGAAATCAAAATGGCTCATGTAATATTTAGTTTAGTTTCCTGAGGCTCATGATCAGCATTTTCTGCTCATGTCAGGACATCTTATTTCACAAAGTATCTTTAAATAAACCAGCAAGCAACGAGGGGACAATGTACCTGCGTTTCTATGGTTACCTCATCATGATCACGCACCTATTCACTTAATTTCCTTTGTGATTATAAGATGTTAGATGTGAACGTGACATAGCTTTTGCAAAAAAGAGGGGGGGTTTTCACACCACTGCTTGTGATCTCTCTACACCTTTCACCTGAGTCAGTGAAGTTAGCTGCAAACTTTTCTTTCTGATGGCCATAAGTTTGACACTCTGTGGGGATGGAGATCTAATGACAGTTCTGTCGGGGTTTGGGGAGTTTTGGTTGGTCTTGAGAGCCGAGGAACTTAGAGCCCCGTGTTTGATATGCTTTAGAGCAGTTGAAAAAAAAAGCCTCTGCACTATATGGTTTGCAAATCATTAAGAATGAAAAGCACAATTACTGCATCCAATTGAGGGCGTCTCTGGAGTTTAGAATGCCAGGGCATGTGTAAGGCTTTCACAGGCTAAATGGTAACTATACGCACCGCTTAATAAGAGCATTATCTGTAGTTTGGTAATAAGCTCAGTCACGGAGGCCCAGCTCCACTTTTTATACTGAATTTGGAGTTGTTACACCAAAGCAGGAATGGACTGGCCGCAGGGAGCACCAGCACTTTTCCTAGTGGGAAAGTTGTCAAAACCAATTTAAAGATACACAAAGGGAGAACATTTTATGTATAGCAATTATTTCTGATGTATAAGATAGATATAGATACACAATTGACTGCATTTGGTCCTCACAAAGACACAAATGATACATAGATGAGTCAATTTTGTTCTGGGGGGTCCTTGAGGATGGTTCTGAATTGGACTGGGGTCCGGTACGCCAAAAGGTTGAGATTCACTGCTTTAGAGGATGTGAGCGTGTCAGAGGCTGCTTGATGAAGTATTTCTCAAAGGAAGTCCACCCTCATTGGTGTCCCTCTTACCCGCACGTCTCACTCCTGCAATGACAGGTTCAGAAACCTCCTTTGATTTCATCTTTAATGCCAGTCTCTTTTATTTTAGTCTCTGGCAGGCACCCACCTTGTATGTTAGTGTAACACTTCACCACCTTGATCAAGCCTGCTGAGTATGAGCCACAATCTTGCGTTAGGAATGTAATGTAATGATAATGCGCTCCTTTCCTTTAGTTTCCTTTTCTTTAGTTGTTTATGTATTCATTTGCCGAATAGAAAATGTGTGATATCAAGTTTTACATTTTACACCTCTCAAGCTAAAGGTAGATTTTTTTCAGACTGTAACTTCACAAAGGTTATCAATACAGGTTTGTAAATGCGTTGCCATGTCATGCATTTGGACTCTTCACATATTATCCTTCGCCACACAACTTTTATCAACTAGAGCTAATTTTTTTTTTACATACGCCAAAAAGTACTTTTAATAGCTTTTAATAACAACTTTATAAATGCCAGAAATGCATTTTTATATATATATATTTACACTGCAAATTCGTCAGTGTTAAATTCCCAGTGTTAAAGCATGTCAAAGTAAAGTGTTGACGTTATAGAGTTAGATTTTGAGAAATTAACACTATCAGAGTTAGAAGCTGATTTGATTCAGTGTAAAACCACAGTGTTACAGGTAACCAACACTTGCCACTGTTATTTCCAACATCCTGGTATTTATGCAGCGCTGTCACTGAAGAATCTTCCAGACGCCATTTTCCCTCAGTTTCAGAATAGCAACTGGTAAGTCAAGCTACCTCAGTGTTTGTACTTTATAGACTTTCTGTATGGAAATACAGTTATAAATGTACTGTTAGTTAAATGACTTAAGACAGGGGTACGAATTTTCAGTTTTGGCGGTTCAATCATGGTTGTTTGTGTAGTTAGTTCGCCGAACTAAGCGGTACTTTCTTGACTTCTATTCAATACTGACAGCTATTAGAATGCTATTTTAAGTAATTTAATGTACATGAGTGTGTTTAAATGGCCTCGTTTTGCACTTTCATAGACATTAAGTAGTTGTATGGCCATGGATGTAACATTACTGGACATGGACAAGTTTTTTTTTCTGCCGCATGGTGCCTAAAAGCATAACATTTACATGTACACGGTATTTCTGTCTCAGTAAAGGCTATTTTGTGTGCTGTTACAGCCACCAGTCTGTAAAAAAAAAAAATCAACGTTTTCTTTAATTCGTATTTTAGCGCCCAAACGAGTGAGGGGAAGCTGTCTCTGCTAGTGCAATTCTTCCAGACGCCATTTTCCCTCGCTTAAGATAGTTGCTTAAATATATCTGGTGAGTAAATCTACATATGTGTGCTTATTATTAGATATGGACAAGTTTTTGTATATATTGACTGCTTTTATTGTCCTCATTTGTAAGTCGCTTTGGATAAAAGCGTCTGCTAAATGACTAAATGTAAATGTAAATGCCCTGTATACAGTGATTAATAAACACAAACACATACAAGCCACGCCTCTGCGCCGACAATGAGCATTGTAACAAGTGAAATTTTAAAGCTCAAAGTGATGCTCTTAATTCTGATCACACATTAGCATGAGAGTTTGCACAACGACAAACTGACATTATCCTGTATGGGAGACTGGGGCAAGTTCGCACAATTTAAATCAATTTCTGTATGCACTGGGGGGAAAAAATGTGGAACAATTGGCAAGTAACATGAAATGGCAAGTAGTACACTGAATTAAATGTAAAATTTTGAATTAGAAAGACTGAAATACTATTTTCTTGTTAAACAATCTAGTAATCTTTATTTTATTTACAACAGTGAATAATAATTTTTACAGTGTAGAAACATACTTTAAAGTCTTGGCTACGAAAAAGGCTAGGAAAAAATTTGCATATTATTTAACACATTGACCTTTTGTGACAACATGTTCCAATACCTTCATATGCTCAGTGTCACAAATGTGATAATTTAACTGGTGACTCTAATAATAATAATAATAATAATAATAATCATCATTAAATGTATTCTATTCTATTCTATGCCATATCGGCATTAAAGGCTATATTTGTGGCAAACTAAAAAATTATATTTACATTAATAACAATACTTCTTGAATTGTATATAATCATTGAACAAATTATATATAATATTTTAAACTGATACTTGATTTAAAAAAAAACAAATCTAATATTTTCCCAGGTGAAATATTTTTGTAAACTTTAAAACTTAAAAAAAAAAAAAAAAAGGTTAAAGCAGGACACTCTAATGTTATACGTTTACATTAGCTAATGCATTAACTATCATTAAATAACAATTTACCACAATTTTACAATATTTATTCATCTTAAAGTTAACATAAATTGTTAAATATATATATTAGATTTAAAGGGTTAGTTCATAATAATAGTTCGTAATATTCGCTTTAATCTAGCTTGCACTCACTGTTGTACACTGGAAGCAGTTCCGCGTGGATGGAGGTTGGCTTTGAGCATGCGCCGCTCAGAAGTGACGAACGCGTAAGCGCAGAGGAGAGATCAAAACAAAACAACGGTCACTAAAACTCATCGATTCGCTACAGAAGGCCTTTGTTCACCCCCCGGAGCCATGTGAGACACTTTTTTTATGGATGGGCACTTTTTATTTAACTGCTTTTGGACTGATGCATGCAACACCCGCTGAGTGCCATGAAACAGCTTGAAAGATCAAAGACAATTTTTAATATAACTCCGACTGGATTCGTCTGAAAGAAGAAAGTCATATACACCTAGGATGACTTGAGGGTGAGTAATTTATGGTCTAATTTTCATTTTTGGGTGAATTAACCCTTTAATTCATGTTAAAAAAGTTATTTATACAACAATATAACAAACCAAGATTAATCATGATTCCTGAGGTTAAAAAAATATTTGCACCCATATTTATTATTTTTCATCATGTTTCTTCATTTAAATATTCTCAAACTTTTTTTCAAGGTTTAAATTTGATTTTGCATCCCACATGCTTTCAGATTTTTTGACCTCTCTGTATATTTTCAGTTTTTCCCTCTGACTCTATTTTTATGTCAGATGGAATGAAAAAGGCAAGCGTTCTGCTCCACGGATAACTCACAGATTGTGGCACTTGGTGCTACTTCTTGTTGTCTTCTTTTAAAGACATTTTTTGTCACCTCAATGTGATGTTTGAAGAAATAAGAAATAAAACTCTTTGAACAGCTTTTGGTTTATTAAGAAATTCTGATCTTTAATCCAACTGGAAATGGCAATTGCACACTTTTTCACAAAGACGGGGTCACAGAATAAATATAGTCTCTGAATTTGATGGCTTATTTCTTTTAAATGCCTGGGGAATTTGTGATTTAGTGGTGAACGTAATGTTTCGTAATTGCATGGTTTCATTTCGGAAGTCACAGGTGAGAATAAATGAGGATAAAGAGGTGAGCTTGAAAAGAGGGAAAATATGGTCTTTTAAGCACTCGTATATAAAAACTAGCAAAAGAGAGCTCTGAAAACATCTGAAATGCGGACAGAGGAAGTGCACACAGTGGAAAAAGTTTGCGTTAACGCCTCTATAATTGACTGAGTTCAAAAGCCTCGCTTCTTAGTCAAAAACCAAAGCAAATTAACATCTGTCATAACTGCTGCAAAAGTCCGGACCGTACAGGTTGAATGCTGCCTTAATAAAATTAATTAGAAGTCCTTAACTAGATTTTGACTGCCACTTTTTTGGGTTTTGATGTGTCTTCTTTCTAGAATTAAAATATGACATGCATAGGAAAGTTTTCAAACACATTAGACAATAATGATCTCATTCGTATTACTTCCAAGTGCAAGAAAAGGAGCCTTTCCAACTTTCAGCACAATGAACAAAGATGCCAGTGTTTGGTTTAGAGTGATTTTTGCCAAGAGCTCCACTCCGCTTTAAATGGTACATTTAATAAAGAGCATGTACGGTTTGTATTTTAAATAAATGCCACTTTTCCCCATATTGTCTCCCTGTAGTGGAGTAATTTCTAACACCAACAAGTTCTCATTGTTCATCTACAGCACAGAGGTGAAAGACACTCTCTCTGTAGGGCGACAAAGGTGCATACATTTATCATGAGCGCTCTGTGTATCTATCGCTGCAGTACTCTCACAATGCAACGCCGGGCAACAAGGTCTCTGCAGATTCATAAGCATGAAAAATGGATGAATAAATGCATGAATAAACAGTATGGAGAGGAAACATATTCATGAGATAAAACATTTATATTTGCATTCACAACAAAGTGGGTATTGCAGTTTTCCTTCCTGTAAATATTAAATAAAGGACATACTGATAGAGATTAATTAAATACATTTCCACGGGTGCTGAGCCTCGGGTTCAAACCAGTCTGACTTGTTATTGTCACATCTGACCTCGCTTGAGTCCAATTTGAATCAATATCCTCCCTGTGAAAATTGAGAAATGTGTCATAAAATTTGAAATAAACATGTTTTCATAGGCAAGCATTTCTTTGACTAAAAATAAATACAACAAAACTTTTTAAAAATCACACATTTAAATGTTTAACATAATTGCTTAATCAATATTACACTTTCCTGAAACTAATATAGAAAAACGTCTTGGTTACGTATGGTAACCCTCGTTCCCTGAAGGAGGGAACGGAGACGTCACGTCGGTGACCGACGAATTGGGATATCGCTTCGATAGACCAATCTACTTCAAGTGTAAACTAAACGAGCCAATGCACATTGGCATGCAATTATTGCATCCAGCTGCCGCTGATCACAGCGTGAGTATAATAAGGCAGCAGGTGCAATGCATACCAAATGCAAAGGCTCGAATGGGCCCTGCTGTAGTGATTTTAGCACTAGAGACAGGTCCCAAGAGGGTATAGAGGGGGGCCGGGAAGGATTCAACCTCCTGGCCCCTCTAAGGAATCTGATGACGAGGTCATGCTTACCTACCGAATTCCCATTCACCAGGTCATGGTACGTAGCAATAGCAGCAACCTGGACTTTGAGGGTGGAGGGAGACTGCCTTCGCTCCAGCCCTTGCTGCAGAAAGGAAAGCACGACCACAATCGGGCATCTCCGGGGTCACCTAGAACCTCCGCGTCCCGTCCAGGGACCAGACATGGAGTTTCCAAAGGTCTGGACGCGGGTGCCAAACGGTGCCCCATCTCTGAGTCGGTAGATCCTTCCTCAGAGGAATCGGCCAAGGAGGAGCACTAGTTCGGGGAACCAGGTCTGAGTGGGCCAATACGGCGCCACTAGCAAGACTCGCTCCAGATCTGACCACGGGGTGAAGGTTTGGCGACAGGCCGGTGTGACTTGGACCCGGTGAGTGCCGCGCTTCCACGCCCACCTCGGGACTCGGCCATAAAGCCAGTGCTGGAGCGGTCTCATATGTGACAGGCCGAGCGATGTAAGTGCTGCTGTGGCCACCATATGCCCCAGGAGCCTCTGAAAAAGTATCAGTGGGACCGCTGTCCTGCCCTTGAACAAGCAGGCTAGCACCGACCGCTCTTGCTACCTAAAACATAAATAAAAAATAAATGAAAATGAAGGTATAAAGAATATCATAGACACTTGGTATTTGACTGGCATAAGCAAGCAAACACTTAGCAACAACTCAGAACGAAAGTGAAAAAGTGAAGTGAGGCAAAGTATGGTGACTCATACTCAGAATGATAGATCAACGGATGGAAAGACAGATAAAAGTATGTAATGAATGACAGACAGACGGATAGAACAACAGACAGTCAGATAGAATGACAGACGGATGGATAGAACATCAGACAGACAGATGGATAGAACAACAGAAACACAAACATACAAACAAACAAACGGATAGACAGATAGAACAATGGATGGATAGAATGACGAATGGAGGGACAGACAGACAGATAGAACGTCAGAAAGAGATTGACTGACTGATTGACAGACAGAATGACAGACAGATAGCTAGATGGATTGATAGAATAACAGAGAGACAGATAGACAGACAGATAGAACGTCAGACAGACAGATAGAACGTCAGAAAGAGATTGACTGACAGACAGAAAGTCAGACGGATAGAACGACAAACAGATGGAACATCAGAGAGAGATTGACTGACAGACAGATGTCTAACAGAAAGACAGATAGAATGGCAGACGGATGATAGACAGAGACAGACTGATGGAACATCAGAGAGAGATTGACTGACTGATTGACAGACAGAATGGCAGACAGATAGATGGATGGATAGAATAACAGAGAGACGGATAGACAGACAGATAGAATGCCAGAAAGAGATTGACTGACAGACAGACAGACAGTCAAACAGAAAGACAGACAGACAGAACGTCAGAGAGAGATTGACTGACTGACAGACAGAAAGATAGACAGAATGACAGACAGACATCCGGATGGATACAATAACAGAGACAGATGGCTAGAATGATGGACAGGTAGAATGACAGACAGATGGATAGACGGATAGAACGTCAGACAGACAGTTTTCATAGTACAGGAAATTCTGATGAACAGTGTCAGGAATGTTGCGAGCCAGATTTAAACTCACAGCTCCTGATGTACCACTGCTCGCCACTGAGCATGTGCATTACAGCCCAATTTACTTTCATTTCTAATTGTGAATCTTTACAAAATCATGTAAGCAATTAGATGAGTTGAATACTTTCTTAAGTCAAAATGGATATCCTGAGGTCACACGTCTCAGTTTCTGTTACTGTATAATTAGCATCTCTTTCACTTATAAGGCAAGGATCTATCAGCTAACAAGCCCTAAATACCACCTGTGCTGTCAGACAGTTCTGGGTAAGTCGGGCTGGAGCCTCGCAATCATGTTTACTCCGAGCTGGAGCTCCGGCTCTCAGAGTCCCACATAAGCAGATGCTTGTACTGGCTTCTGGCACATTGAGCTGTGTGAAAAGTCACTTTCTTCCTCTCTCTTTGATCACTGCATATAACAGGCTGAAAAAAAGAAAAAAAAAAACCTTCAAGTTCATCACGCCGCAAATAATTACCACAGAAAGGTGGATCGCTCTGAGGAGCTTAGAGTAAACGGAAATTTTAACGGCTGATTTTCACAGCTCACAGCTGCTTTGAAGTTGCTTAGCTACAACAAAAGGCTAAAGAAGTTAAGAGAGTGCTTGGGTTTTAACTTTTTCCTCCATTTGACAAGTATTTGCTCTTATTTACCTATCAGAAGCAGCTTTGTTCTGTTTTAAATACTAGTCCGTTTTTACTGAAAGTTTCAGATAAGCGACCACGCATTAGACCCGTACAGTCAGCACCTTGTAGGAAATATGTAAAACCACCTGCGTACGAATCATTCTCTGGCTCTTAAATTGCCAAACCACTCCTGTCCCCTCGGTGCCTGAGAGTCTTTAGGTCCCTTAAGATCGCGCCTGACTGGATTCATTAATGCAGGAGGAAGTCTCTCTCCGTCATCTCTCCCAGTGCACACTGCTCTGCGAGGCGGCTGATAAGTCCAGCTCAGCTCGTCTCTGGAGCTCTGCAGGGAGCTAAAGATCCTTCAGCAGGCTATGACTTCCATTCCTCAAGAGGGAATGCTGAAACTTTATGCAGTGGCAAGCATATTCGCATAAGCAAAAGCACTTTAATGATTCCCAGGTCAAAGAATCTTTGGTTCTGAATGTGTTCTCCAGTGGGAGAACTCTAATTATCAGTTGAGAGTGCCAGGTGATTGCAAACAAAATTGTTGCACCAAACTAATTTTTCTGGTGAGTTTTCAGAGGTGTGTAAAGCACAAACCTGATAAAAAGGCTGGTTCCAATGGGTTAGTGCTGGTCTAGCTGTTAGTTGGACCAATATATCCATACTGTTTTCCAGCCAAAAGTCGATTTGCTGACCATCTGATGCATATAACGTGTGTAATTCTGTAATATCAACATAACCATCTGAAAGCTATAAGTAAAGATTTTAACAGGCATAAGTTGTTAATAGCAAATAGCAAAAAAAGTGGCTATAGATAAAGTAATGTATAAAATCATATAAATGAATCATATCATATATAATAATATACAAAGTAATATCAAACTATATATTTTAATGTAATATGACAGAAATATAAAAATTAATATATAATATAAACATTTAGAATTTCATGTAAAAGTATAATAAAATAGAAAAAATAAAATTGTATATACAGACTACAACTCAAAAGTCTGGAATCAGTAATATAAAACAATAATAATAAAACGAATTACTACTTTTATTCAGCGAAGAAAAAAAATGATTATAGGTGATGGTAAAGATATTTCAAACAAATACTATTCCAATACATCAAAGAATCTTGAACAAATGTATCACTGTTTTCTACAAAAAAAAAAGTTTTCAAAATGTATAATGAGAAATGTTTTTACATTATAATAATATTTACAATATTTCACTGCATTTTTGATTAAAGAAATGCAGCCCTGATAAGCATAAGATGTTTCTCTTAAAACATTTTTTTCTATCTTACCAACCCTAAACTGTTGAATGATGTTTAAGTGTACACAGCAATTTACTATATCAAAATATATGTTCAATAAACCCACCTTAAATGGCACATAAATAACAAAACAAACTTTGGTTGGTCTCTTTACATATCAATCAGACAGTCTTTTTCTCTCTAAGCTAGTGATTCTTGGCCAGAAAAAGCTTCAATGCAGTTCAGATCTTATGCCATTTAGGTCTGGCTATATGTGCCTATGGGTGAAAAAAAATGGCACCTTGCTGGTTAAGCTACTTTAAAAAGTAAGGCAAGTACACCAGAACAATGGCATCCCATGCAGGGAGCCAGCATCCAAATCACAACATATGCTGGTGACCACTTAACTTGGCATTTGCAGCAGGGAAATGTTTTTCTAGGGATGGCCTCTACAGTGTCCTCTTATGTGTCTACTTACTGTCTTTGTGCGGATTTGTCCCTGAATTTCTTGACAGGAAAAGGATACTCATTTTGAGTCTCGGGTGGCAGCGTCAAGCAAAATTGCAAACAACTTTAAGAGTTCTGCCATAACACCAGCTGTAACACCTCAGTCTGATCTCCTATTAGACTGTCAGTAGCTTGCACAGCCCGACAGACCAAACGGAGACGAGTGGGACAGCTGTAGCAGCAGCCTAGCTGTTTAACACCTAGCTTTAGCGCTACACAGCACTGCCTTTTGAGTACAGCAGCCAAGACTGTATACGGGAGGAGGGGGGCAGTGACTCACAGGAGAACCTGTTGGGAATAGTTAAACACGACACTCCACGCAAATAATAAGCACCGTTTGTATTTCTCTAAATATTTCCCTGGCTCTTGGGAGGAGAGAGCCACAGGAAAGTTTTCCTCCTACTAAAGATGTTGACCTTTACAAATAGAGTTGTGTCTCAGCCAAGGCTGGCCTCTCTCATACTCGGCCGTTTCTTTGCAGCAAGCTTCTTTCATTTCCATTTCAAATCACACCATTTCTTTTTTTTTTTTTTCATACAGTCGCCCACAGCACTGCTTTGCGCTTTAATGTGAATTAGCAGTTTGTACTGGAGATGGACAGAATTAGTGGTAGGCTGATGCTTTTATTTGGACATTCTGAATGGCTTTAGCATTGTAAGGTCATGCAAATGCATGAGCACGTGAAACTTGAAGTCATACACAAGACAGGTATGGAAAGAGGAGTTATAAATGGCCATAAGTCAGAGCATTCTGAGTGCTCTGACATACTGAGTGGTCATTCTCATAGGAGCGCCAGCTTTGAGTCTAAGTGATAAAAATTAAACATAAATTAAACATAAGACAATTATTTATTTATAATAAAAAATGAAGAAAATACTGTATACAAAAATACACCCCATTTATCATAAATATATTAAATAATAATATGCAAGATGTTATGCAGAGAATAAGAATAGTACTGTATATTAAGTAAATAAGATACAATTATTGTTTTAATATAATTGACAAAATATTCAAAATATATTATATATGTGCGTATTATTTATGTGCTTATATGGACACGCACACCATGAAAATGACGAATTTTGGTGAAATGTAGAATACAAATAAACTGATATAAACAAATAAACTGAGTTGAATTATTCTCTTCAGGTTTATACATGTAATAGAACTCTAGATGTGGATTAAAAAAAATTAAATTATCGAATTATGCATAATATCACCATAAAAAAAGTCTGAAAACCCCTGCTCTAGAACAACAACAAAACCTAAAAAGTAAGAGACTTAGGGTACATTTAGACGACAACAATGTACCATAAACAGAAAATTTTTGCCTTTGTGTTTTTGAAACGTTTTGCGTACAGATGTCAACGTCGTCAAAATGATCCCCATTCACACGGATCTGTAAAAACGACTAAAAACACTGTTGCCGATGTCACTTTGTAAAGACACACTACATGCGCACATACCCATAGACTGAACACATAATACGCATGCATATGACGTTACCGTTTTCACAAATCCAGATTTCACAAATCCAGTAGTTTACACAGAGATGATAACAAAAACTTGCACTTTAAAAACTGTTTTCAATATTTGTGTAAATGAACAGCCAAAACGTATAAAAAATTTTCCGGTTTGTAGTTGAAAAAGGTGTTGAGTAAATGCCCCCTTAATCTCAAGTCTTCCTGTTATCCCCATTTAATTTCATTGTCTTGTAGGACAAATACAGTATATTGAGCACATAGAAATCTCATTTGTGAATTTCCTTGCACTGGATACACCTACAAACACAAATACACACTTCATATGTAAACACGCTCATACTCTCACATGCAGGCACTTATTAAGATCTCCTCCTCTACCTGCAGAGAAACACCCTTTGTGTGTCATACTCGATGGATATCTTTTCGCTCGCTCTCTCACACGCACACAGAGTTGGTTGGCTCAGCGGGGGAACTTCATGCTGTGTGCTAAGGGACACGGGTGTTGTATTATACCAGGGGTGACAAATGAAAGCTGGCATACTAAGAGAAACGGCAGCTTATTTGGTATGCTAATGTGAGAGGGAGAAAGAAAACAGAGGAGGCTGGCGTGGAGCCCATGCAAGAGAGATCAATTCACTCCAATTGGCTCCAGCCATCCTTGGTTTTCTCCAGAATGTCCCACTGGGAGAACTGCAGCATCCACCAGGGACTCCATCTCTCTTTTACAGCACCTATTCTTCAAGTTGGTTTTAAAGCCCAGACGGCAGCGCGCAACACAAAGCAACTTTAGCAAAAGCGCAATAGTAGCTACTAGCGTTGTTGTGCAACACTCCACCAATCTTCCAGAAATTGACTGTTTTTACATGACTACTTAAATGATTGCAAGATTTTTTTAATATACATTTTTAATAGACACAATAATCAGAAACAGTCCTGCTGGCCTTGGCGTGTGGTACGAACACCCATTAATTAATCCAAGAGCAAAGAAATCCGTGAAGTCAGCCTCTCAGTATAATATATGGCAGACGCAAGAAGGCCCCAAACCAAAAACATATTGAGAGGCATTTACATGAAAGTCTTTGGAAAAGTAATAAACTGCTGCATGGAGTTTTTAAGGCTCTAGAAGAATCAAGTTGCAAAAGCCCTGGGCAGTTTTAACGTACAGCTGACTTAGATAGCTGACTTAGATAATCCCTGGAATCTCAACCGATCAATTGCAAAAATAAAAGAATAATATTTTTAATTAGTAGTGCTTGCTAAAGGAGACATCACTATTACCTAAAACTTTGGGTACTGGGGATTTGAACAAACTCCTAATCCTAAGTATATTAAACTTTAGAGCGTAACTCATCCTGGATCGCTCATGCAACGGATATATGAATGATACCTCAAAGTCGTGTGCCATTACTTTTTGGAATGATTTTTACTTGGAAAACCATAAAACAGGTCTAAAATCTTGTAGACTTAAAGGGATAGTTCACCCAAAAATGAAAATTCTGTCATT